TTTCATGGGAATATGTGTGGCACCTGGCAGAGTTTATGGTCATGAGAGAAGGGCATGTGGTTGGAAAGTAAGATCTCATGAAACTGTAGGGAGGCATTAGATCTCAAGTCAGGAAAACGAGGGGGTGGGGGGCAAGCCATTCTGTAGGAGACTGTTTGCCACAAAGAGCTGCTGCTCTGCCTCCCACCGAGCATCTGGGCACCAAGGAAGGCATCCCCGTAGCCTCACTACTCATCCTGGCCGAGTATGGTCTCCACAGATCGGCTTTGACCCACACTGTCCTCGCCAGCTCCCACCACTGCCATCTGAGCCAGGTGTGGAGCCAAAACACTGAGGTGTCCCCCGCCTCTTTCCACATGAGCCTCTCTCTCCCATTCCAAACAGCCACCAGGGGGCTCATGGACTCCCTAAGGCACAAACTTTTAGAAAATTGATGAATTTTCCAAATTGCATTGAAAAGTTTAAAAATGGTAGAAGCCTGAGGGAAAAACCATACGACAAGACCTTCTCTCCCTGCCAATGAAATTCATTCATTTCAGCCACCTCTTTAGAGAAACTGGATATTATCCCCATTCCTGTACTCTTTTTCTTGCTTTGTGTTTTTGAGGTAATTGGTCGCCTTCAATTACTATGTCAACTGTCTGATGAAGTTTTTATGTTTCTTCCACTCTATGACCCTGATATTTTCTAGAGGTAGCTGTCAGTTTGAGAGACAACCAGAGCAGTGAGTAGAAATAGGCCTTAGCATCCAAAAAGTCTAAATTTAGGGCTGGCCCCGTGGCATAATGGTTAGGTTCGATGCGCTCCGCTTCAGCGGCCCAGGTTCACGGGTCCTGATCTGGGGCACGGACCTACACCACTCGTCAGCCATGCTGTGGCAGTGACTCACATACAAAATAGAGGAAGATTAGCACAGATGTTAGCTTAGGGCAAATCCTCCTCAGCAAAAAAAAAAAAAGAAAAAGAAAAGTCTAAATTTAAATCCTTGCTCTGCCACTTACTAGCTGTGTGACCTCAGGCAAGTTCATATCTATGGTGATCATGCGTTAATTAAATCAAGGAATGTTCTTGGAGCACCTACTGTGATGCCAAGCTCTGTAGTTGTTTCTGGTGGGAGAGAGCATGAAAAATATTAAAGAAAAAAACTAGTCTCAGGATATGTGAGGTTTTGATATAGTCCCATATATCGAAAATACTTATTTTCCTCATGATAGGAATAGGGAAGATAATAACTCCAGAGTGTTGCTAAGAGTTAAAACAGACAACTAATATGAAGTTCCTAGGAGAAATTACATCACGATGATTCAGCAAATAATTTCCTTCCCTCTTTCTCCTTCCCTTTTCTACCTTCCTTTGAACTTGGCTTTTGTTTATAGAGGAATGATATACAAGGGTACTCTTCATGTGTGTATCAAGACAGACCTATAGATGCTTTCAGCAATAATATCCCTTATTCATCTCTGCCCTTGAGGCACTAACAGTCTCTTGAGTATGCTATGACATTTCTCAGGCCTGTGACCTTATAATATAAACATACAGTATTATCTAATTAGTTCTGAACACTTTAAGTAAACACTTTAATTTTATAAAATATTTTAGTATGATTAGTAGAGACCATAAACAATTTATAGTTGCTAAGAAGTTCCTTGGCTAACTCATTTTTTCAAATGCCACAACCTCCAGGAAACTTTCCCTGACCACTTAGATCTAGTTAATTGTTTCTGCTCTGAGATCTCTACACATGCCTATCATGGGAAGCAATGTAGTGATGTCTATAAGTTCAGCCCTTGGACTGTCCAATCCTGGATTCAAATCCAGCTCCACCTCTTAGTGGACTTTGGCAACTTATTTAACCTAAACCCCCTTTCCTCATCCATAAATTAGGATTAATAAAACAGGGTTAAAGGAAAGCATGCATATGAAGTGCCTACACAGTGCCTGGCACGTGCTAAGCAATAAGTAAGTGCTGGGTGCTATCATCTTCATCATCACCACCACCACCACCACCATCATCACCATCATCATCGTGACACTTTATTGTAATTGCTTGTTGAATATGCTTGTCTTTCTCATTTGACCAGGGACCATATCTTCTCTGTTTCCCTTCTGTCCCAGTGCCTAACAACAGTTTTAGACACATAATAGGAGTCTAGTAACTTGGTTGGTGAATGGTTGAGATGAATTCCAGTGGCCCAGATGACAGCAGTGGCTGCTGGGATTCTGCACTGCCTCCTCCTTGAGTCACTTCATTGCCATCTTTTATGCCCTCAAAAGCAATGAGATGTGGCCCAGTTCTTCAAAAGTGAGTCTACCAGGGCCGGCCCTGTGGCTTGGTGGTTAAGTGCGCGCGTTGCGATGCTGGCAGCCCGGGTTCGGATCCCGGGTGCGCATTGAGGCACCACTTCTCTGTCCATCCTGGGGCCGAGTCCCACATACAGCAACTAGAAGGGTGTGCAGCTATGACATACAACTACCTACTGGGGCTTTGGGGGCAAAAAATAAATAAAATAAAAAAAAAAAAAAAAGTGAGTCTACCAGAGTAGATCCTAGACAGAGCAGGTGAGATCTTGTAGAGCCCACAGCATCTCAGAGCAGGAGGGGATTTTCTGAGTCTCCCAACCACCCCTTTCATTTTACGAAGTACACACTAATACACATCTGCTACTTAGCTGGGTTAGACATGTATGTGATTGGAGAGCTGTAGACCTGAGGAGAGGAATTTAGAAGATAACTGAGTTAGAGCAATACAGCTAATTTTCAAATTTCATGTTTTTCATCTGCCACCATCTTTTCTATGGAATTTGCTTTTTATTCTTTAAGGATGACACTTAGCTAAGTACTTATAAATAATAAATGCAAAAAACTAATAATTAGCCGGAGGTGATATTACTTCTAAAGAAGGAAAAACTGATATTCACTACAAATGTAAGGAGTATCTACCACATATTAAATAATTCATTAAGGGAGTGCTTTGTAGTCCTGCTCACCTGCTTTCTAAATTTCATCACATAGCATATTTCAAATGAATAATAATCTGTGACTGCATCGGCAAAAAAATATATATTTCTAATATAAGTAAGATATGGGGAAAAAATTAAAACATTTAACTGCTCTAATTACTTTAATTCTAGGGCTTGCCATTCCACAGGCCAAAACTTTACTATAGAAGAGCTTCATTTATACCTACCTGGCAATATAAGATCTAAGGCCAGATTCCAGAGTGGTTTTCCGAGTGCTCATGTTCATTTGCATCCATTGAATTTACCCAAATGCACCATAAGAAGGCAGCACACATCTGGTTAATTTAAACAAAACGGCACATCTGGTGGCCAGATCAAAATAGTTGTCTAAACTAGTCCAAGACATTCCTAAATTATCACTTAGATAGGAAAGCTGTTGGAAAAGATAAAAGGAGCATAAAAGAATTCATCCTTAAGACTCTGAGTTTCTACAAAAGGGCATCATTGAGCTAATCAAGTTGCAAAATGGGAAAACAAAGAGTTAAAGAACAAAAAAAGGAATTCACCAAGCTGAGAAAATGGAAATATTTGTTACACTTGAAGGACTTTTACTGAGTGTGATAATCTGAACACTAGCTACTCAAAGAGAATCAGATCTCGTTCCTATAAATAAGCAATAATTAATAAGTTACTCTGCAACAAGGACCACCTTATAAAAGAGTTCTTTCGGTAATACTGTTCTCTTGAATAAACTCAAATCAAGCCTGTCTTATATCGTATTCTACTTTGCATCACAGACAGCTTTAGTGTGTTTCCATAATGTCTTATACAAAAGCATGAGAAATTTTCATGAATTTTGGTATTCTGGAGTTATATAGTCAGGTTTTGTTATAATAGAGAATATACTGGCTTTAGAATAAGTGATACTTACATATAAGCCTTTGAGTGTAAATTCCACTAGAGCCTCATTAATTCAAGGCTGTAAATCCAAAATTTGTAATAATTTGGCTTAAATATTATCGACATAACATATAGGGAAAGAGGTTTGCTAAGCAAATACATAATCTAAGCAGTTAGCAAGAGACAATGCTGCAGTTCTTTAAGAATAATTAAATTTTTAAATCTAATTTTAACTTTTTTGCAAAATCTTTTTGCCAAAATATAATGTATGCATTTCTAACCAGCTTCTCAGGTGATTCTAATACGGTCAGCCTGGTACCAGTAAACATATTACTCTTTGATTGTTTTTGAACACCCAGCACATGGTCTTTCTTGGAGTAGATTATTAACATAACTGATCAGCTAACACATGGACTTTTACTAGCTAGCACTTTGTTAACCAAGTGTGAGTTATATTATGACTTTAAAATGGCAAAAAACAAAACAAAAATGGATTTCTCATTCAGGTTAGCTTTCTCCATTCAATCCAAGTTACTAACATTTTACTATATAATAGACATTCTAAGATTTCTGCTAACAATTCTTGCTTTTGATAAATAAAATCAATTTTCAGAAAACTGTAAAGATGATGTTCTTCTCCGATATCCTTCTATTAATCATGGAAAAGATTATATCACATGCTTTTCTCAATGTACCTGTGGGATTGACAAGATGCCCACATGTCCTGACGATAGTCGGTTATCTGAATATATTCCATTTTGGAATAGCAGATCTAAATGCTAAGCAAGTAAATGCCATCATGTTCATGTTCAGAACTTGAAGATCTTTCATCATATTAATAGACTCTTTATTTTTAGATGTATCCAAATACCAAATAGGAATGGCCAGATGTGTCCTAATGTACTTGAGAAATCTCACTACTAATTTTGTGTCACTAATTTTTTAATACTGTATTTAATTAGGAAAAAAGTCTTGTCTTTTCTATTGGCATCATTCAGGGAAGACAAAGCTTAATCCAGATGTTTCTGTGTGAATGCACATTCCTCACTAAATCTCTCAGGCAACTGCTTTAGTTACTGTTACTAACACGTTGCTCTGTCATCTCTTTGTATACATGTCTAATTTATCAGTTTCTTGTAGATTGTCAGCAGCCTGCTGCCTCCGTACCGCCACAGTGCTCACAACTAGCCGGGAGGCAAGACTGCCCGACTGTCAGGTAAATTCAGATGTCCTTTCTCTTCCCACCCAGTTGCATGTCAGATCCAGAGACCCCAAGCTCTCCTTTCCAACACCACAACTGCCTACACATCATTATATTTGCTACATTTTATTTCAAATATGGGCTACACAAACACACACTGGATACCTAAAGTCCATTTGTGCCCAGTGGAACTGGCCACTAGCAGGTAGACTAAAGTCTGCCTTCAGCTCCCTTCTGTGAGTCAATACTTGGCTTAGTCCAGAGTTTCATTACCTTCCAAAATATAAAACCTGAAATTGTTAAGATGTTTGCGCCACTTCTTTTGTTTGTCTTTTGTGCTTAGTATATATTTCTCAGACAAACAAACAGGAAGGATATAAAGCATATCTCAAGTCTGTTCCAAGGCAACTTTATGAAAGTGTTTCTGTTTTCTGTCACTCAGTACCCTCATTAAAACTGAAATTGAAAAGTAGAGAAAAACTTGTAATCGGCATTCAAAAAAGACAATTTGCAGTGAGAGAGCCATTTATGTGTGATTACCTGAGGAATTTTAAAGGTTTACATACTCCCTGGACACTAAACTGGACAGTTTGCTGACAATTTCTATTCCCATGAAAGCTTTGCAAATCCATCATGAATTTACCTCCATCCTGGGTGAACTTCCACACGGCATCAGAGCACCCCGTCAGGACCTCATCATCTTCGTGTAATACTTCATCTTCAGTTATTTGGCCTCTGCTGGTCCAGGTTTTTATCGTCTGGTTGTGGCTTCTATAGTCCGCTCATTGTTCTCTCCATATTTTAATGTATGTGTTGCTTTTCTGCCAGGGCAAGGCTTCTTTTGAATAGTAGCAGGCCCAAATGTATTTCCATGTATGTCTGAGAGGTAGATGACAGTAGCAGGCTGCATGTGGTCATGGGTTAGAGCCGGAGAGCTGGGGAGCCACAAGTGCCCCCCAGAAACACAGTGGCAGCCACAGCCCCAGTGTGACTTGGTCTCTGAGGCAGATGTGCAGCCAGCTATCTAAGTGGGAGATCAAGTTAGCAGGAAAAGTATATGATTAAATAGGCCCCAAGGCAGTGTCTCCCAATTGATGTCTCAGCCTGCTGCTCCCACCACTTCCAGCAACAGGGTTTTTACTTCAGGAAAGTTCTTCGCTAATATACGAATGCCATTTTATAACAGCAGCCAACTGTAGGGTAATTTCAATTATGTAAGTACCTGAATACAATTATAAATGTTCAGACCCATGTCAGTGGATTCTCTGTGTGTGGTGGTGAAGAACATGGGTTCCTAACCTCCAGCCCATTCTCTTCAAGCACCCCACCCCATCCAGGGCCAGGCACGTGACAGGTGTTCAGGAACTAGTGATTACAGGAAGGAGTGAATGAGCTCTAGGGTCAGATGGCTTGAGTTTGAATCCCACCTGTGACACCTACTAGTTGTATAATCTTGGAAAGTTGCTTTTGCCGGCTGAGATTCCCTTTCTTCACTTGTGAAGTCAGGGTGAGAAGAGGCACAAGCCTGGCCCGTGGCTGCTCTCAATATCTGTTATTGCTGCTAACCGTTCCTCAAGACAAAGATCTGCAGTCTCCTCCATAACCTCTCTAGTTTGCCTGGGCAAAGAGTGGAGAAGCCTACTCTCTTAAGTGTTTAAATTAGATAAGAAATGGTAAGGCTAGTGAGGAAGTTTTTAAGTTTAATTTTATTTCACTTTGCCTTTTCTTGAGAACCAGTTTGACTACACGGCTACCATCCCCGGTTTCCTATCTTCTGAGATTACTGCATTTAGGCTGCTTGCTACCTCCACACAGATTATTTCCTTTCAAGAAAAGCAATTTAATGAATTACAAATGTTTCTAGTTTCTACTCACGTGAATATAGCGTGGTCCAGAGCAGGCTTCCACTGTCCCTCATTGTGGTCCATACAGAAAATGCAGACCTGAAAAGACTGTCCTTTTCAAAGTCGCTGGGATATAACTGGCTTCCTTCCCACACCCGTTGCCAAATGGATCACTGCCTTTTTCTCTTCTTTCTGGCAGAAAAGTTAAGACATAGCCAACCTTTGAATTCTTACTATGTACAAGACAAGTGTTAAATTCTTTACACTTATTAATCATTACAATCCCTGTTATACCCATTTTAAAATGAGGGAACTGGAGTTTGGGGAGGTAAAATGACTTCCAGGGTCACCCATCCTGAAAGCAACTGAATCCAATGGCTCCGACACCCATTCTTCTAACCACCACCGTACACCACTGTACTGCAAGGAGACGTTCCCCCTTTTAGTTATGTTGTGAGGAGCAAAGTCACACCATGTTGCCTCTTTATCCATGAATTGAAAAGGAAAGTTCATTTAATGAGAAAACATGCTAAGAATGTTGAGTGATTTCAGATCAAGTGTTCTCTATCTCTATTTCCCATTTGAAAAATTGTTTTCTACTTCCTTCAGCTTATATATATGTGCAAAACAACTTTTTAGGTGTATGGTTTTGAATAAAAGAGCATTTGTCACATTTGAAAATGTAGAATTTTTCTATACGTGCTTTTTACAGACTGATTCCATTGTAGAGCTAAATTATTAAAGTTGTTTATAGGTAATAGATACTATAATATAAAAGAGATGCCCGAGGTGTGGCAGCCATGGATGTAATATTTAATATGGAGAGATGTTTGGTATTTAGCACCTCTCCCCTTCTATCAAGTAATTGCTTACTTGTGAAAAAAGAAACTTTCTGAAGATATATCCATTTTTATATCTTAGTAATGGTTTCCTAACCCTGCTGTTTAAACATGGTCTACCTACATAAAGTAGGCTCTTAAATGGTAAAGGTTGAGTAATGAGTGGGCTCCTGAAGATTTTTAGCAATCAGAACTGAAACTGAATTCATCGTATACCTTAAATGATTAGAACTTATCAAATATTGACATTCAAGAAGTAATTTCTTAATCTGTAAGCCAAAAATATGCTTCTGTCACATAATATACACAGTGCCATTGCATTTTATGCAAATTTAAATTAGTAATACTATAATATAAAATATGTATAATCTCTCACTTCATGTAAGAAATCTGAAATAAGGGAAAGAATTTTAAATCATCGTGAATGACATAATGTGAAGGTGTTGGGCTGTCACCCATGTTTAAGCTATTGCCACACACTTCAGCTGGTCAAGCAGTAATGCTTGTCTTCCTGCATCAGGAACAGTATTGAACTCCACGGGGTCTTCAAAAACTTACCCCCTCTTGTATAATGTGACTACCTTGTGCTACTCGCCATAGTTTATGTTGAATAATGTTTCTACTCCCCTAAAAAGAGACTCATTTTAAATCATGCAGCTGTAACAGAAATAAACTCTGGTAGGTCTGTGGGTAAGTCTGTCTGCTGCTGTGTTTCCCTGGCCATCAGACTCTGGATGGTAGAGGAAGAATCTTGCCACGCAGTATTTCCTCGATCCTTTTGCTGAAGCCCAGCTCTCCCATGTTGACTTACCACGTTTTAAAAATAGATAGGAAAATCATTTTTATCACTGGTTGTCCTAACTAGTATAGAAGAGCATATCTCCTTTTAAACTAAATTTATAGCAGTTTAAAGACTCTGGGAAGTAAGAGTGACCTCAAGTAGATCAATGTTTTACATAATTATGATTTTTATATTAAAATTCAAGAGATATAAATGAAGAATAATATCAGTACCAAAGATAAAAATTATTTGTTTAATGCTCATTTTTAATGACTTCAATGATAATATTAGCTAAAAAAACTATGATTAAATTACTAAATAATAATAAACCTTGAATAGTTTTCTCAAATATCACTCTTGGCAGAAATGAATTCTATGGTAATGAATTTCATAATATAAGAGGAAAAAAGAGTTTTAGCAAAATGCTGAACTTTTTCAATAAAAAAAAAATCTTCATAGTGTGTTTTTCTCCATTAGTTACATTTTAAAAGGTCTGAATCCAAATGTGTTTTGTAGGTTTACCTTAGGAAATTCAATGATTTTGCTTCCACGTTCTTCAAGATTATTCATCAAGATGTTGATGAGCCTGAGCATTTCTGTGTTCATTTAAACTGGAGGCCCTCAAGGTGGTCGTTTGGAAGTCTGCATTATATACTTTACAAATAGGAAGTTTGAAAACTCTTCTGTCTTATTTATGTTACCCTTTACACTACCTAAAGCAGGTAGGGGGAACTCTTAGAGCAAATTAGACTTCCATAAGCAAATTAATTGTCCTGTTGAATCTGGGTCTACCAGAGAACTGATGTAGAACCCTTTAAAGCCTTGGTCCAGCACCGTCCACATTCCAGGGAGCTTGTTGGAAATGCAGATTCTCAGGTCCCACCCCAGACGTATCAAATCAGAATCTGCATTTTACCAAGATCCCCAGGTGATTGGTATGCACATTAAAGTTGAAAAGAACTGATCTAAAGAAATCTTGCAACTAACAAGAGACCTAGGCGAATGAGACTGCAAAAAATTGAAAAGAGTGACTGCAGGAGAGGAGCTCACGTATCATTTCCCTCACACATTGTTTTCTTTTTTGCGCGTTGTTTCGACAAGCTACAGTTGTCTTGGCATGCTTTAGATTTGAAACATTTTCTGTGCAAAATTTCTGTTCATTTTAAAATTTTTCTGTGAAAATAATGTGTCTGTCTAGCCCTTACAAGTGCACCTGGCCCCTTGTCAATGCGTTTCTTGCTGACATGCTTGTTTCTCATTTGCAGTCCTGACATAGCTCTCCCAGAGGAGCAGCCACATTCCAGCTCGCAGTGCGCCCCTCTCCACTGTCTCTCCAAGCCTCCTTACCCCTAGTCTTCATCTCCCGTGGACAAACATCTGGGGTGAACGTTTTGTAGCCACACACAGGATACTGCCCAAGATCCAGCGGGTGTTTTCTTTTCGGTGGTTAGATTATCATTGGATTAATGTCCATCATTTTGGAAGATGAGAGAAAGTTGAGAAGAATAACACAAAGCACAGACTCCGGGGTGATAGAACATTTTATGGTTTCTCTAAGTCACAGATAAACTTCTGCAATCAAATGGCTCCCGTTCAGTTAAATTAAAAAAAAAAAAAAAAATGAAACGAAACAAGAAACATGTATCTCAGATGGCTGGCTTTACCTCGATAGCATAAGAGAGGCCTAAGATGATGTAAAATACGTATATTGTAAAGTCATCTTTCCTCATCCTTCAAATTCAGCTATAAAAGTTGATTCCAATTGTTTTGTCATTGATATTTCTTTTGTACTTTATTTGCCACATGATTCATGTCTATAAAAATCATTTCTGTGAGAGGTGAACTTAATTCATTTATTTTTAAAGAAGCATAATTTGCTCAATTAAGTATGAGTTTTAATTTAGTTTGAAATCTGGAATTGGCCAGACTGTGGTCATTTTTCTTGCACAAAATGATAATGAGGTGCATCGGAATGTTAACAGTAACTGTATTTTGCTGCTACACTGATATTGTTTATGCACTTATTTTCTAATCAGTAGCTCATTAACTGCTGTTTTTTTTTTTTAATTAGAATTCTTCACTGGACATTATTAAGTAAATCTAAAAAAGAGACTATATTATGATTCATTGACTTATTCAACTTTTGACGGCATCTTTCATTTTTTTAAATTTGCAGACAAGTAGATGCACTGGTGCTGCTCCTTTGTGTGTGTGTTGTGTGTGTGATGATGTTAAAGAAGGCTAAATCACGTGAAGGGAAAAAAATGGTGTGTTTATTTAATGACCAGAATTTTTTTACTTCTCCCAAATTCAGGGTCCTACTATGAGTCTTTCCTGCTAAAAAGCATCAACTACAAATGGGAAAATATATACATAGATAGATGTAAGTTAGCCTTTGGTTAATTAAATTACCCAGAAAGTGTTCAAATTTTGATTACAATTGTATGTTTTGTTGTTGTTAGGTTTTTTTCATAATGAATCTTCCTTGCCAAAAAACAATAGATGATAAACCTTAGCTCATTGTCTACTTTTGACAAACACTCAGGTGCCTACAATCATTATATTACATTGAGATAATACATGTTCCTAGTTCATTTACAGATTCTGCTAGGTAACTTTTATGACTTGATTTAAGGCGGTGGATTTTCATAGCAAAATTTATTTTGCACATAATCTGACAAACAAGGAAAACAGCTAATTGAGCTGAAAGGTCTAACACTCTTGGGCTCCTTAACTATCAAGTGCTGCCCGCACAACTGCTCCTAGCACTGATTCCTTGTCTAGTCAGGTAGCCTTAACTTATTTAAAACCATAACGGTTTGACTTTTTCATGTAACAATATCTGTAACTTCTCTTTAAAACGAAAACAATCCTCACTGTTAACACAAAAGATAGTTAATGCAGGGCTCTAACAATGGAGATCTAGTAGGAGCCACTCAGCTTATTGAGCAGAAGTGGGTAGAATGTTAATAGAGTGGTCCATTCAAGATGGCGGCCGATGGGTAAGTCATAAAGCACAGTGAGGGGCTTTCATCCGTCGTACACCTATTAAGTAGTGGTCACTATTACCAAAGCAACCAAGAGGTTTTGAGTTCCTTATATGAGTGCTATTTTCAACAGTGTCATTTATTATGGAACTTGGAGTAGTTGGAAATCTTCACCAAAACAGGGATTAAAGTACAGAAAAAGAAACAAAACAAATCTTCATAAAGTCTGGATCATGGCAACCTAACGTTCTGCTCTTTCCTACCTGCATTGCCTTGCTGTTCCTAAACATTTTCTTCATTGTGTTGGTGTTGTATCTGCCTGGGACCAGTATTAGTAAGACAGTGTGGATTTTATTAGAGTTCAATTAAAGAAAGCTACCCCACCCCCACTCCTGCTTTTTCTTTTTTTCTTTTTGTTGTTTCTTTTTCAAGCATCATGTGTTTGGACCTGAGAAATGGCATAGCTGCTAAATTGACTTTTAATAAAAACTGTTTGTGCCTGAGGGAAAATATGCCTTTTTCAAAAGTACCTCAGAACATCTTCCTATATTGCCTCATCAGTTTTGTTGGTGGTATGGGGAACTGAGCAGTAAATATTGTCTGTGTGTAACCATAGAGCAGTACTGTCTATTGACCGTGCTGTATTGCATTCGTGCTCCCTTACTCAGTATTTATGACCTGGTGAAAAGCAGAGTCATAGACAAAACATTTATTTCTTCCAATAAAAAGTTTATCATTAAGTCTATTATATACCGGTTTTATTTCAGTTCTTTATATTAATAGAGTGGGAAATGCTTGTTTTGAAATATTAATTTTATGAAAATGTTAATTTTAGCCAAACTTTGCCAAGAAGATATAGAAAATTGGAAATACATTTCTAATTTTCAGCATGAAATTAGATAAGCGGTAAGAGAGAATTCCATGTATTTACAATGTGGCATCATTTAGTATCGTTTAAACTGAGCCATATCTGTATTTATTTCCATATAGGCATTTAAAATGAATAAATATGTGTAGCTCTGGTAAAAGTCAGTACCTGCAAAGAAACATCAGGATTCAAAATGAAATTGAAAAATTGAAGAACCAGTGAAAATCAAAAATAATGAATCTCAGTAAGACTAACTGAAGACAGACTTGGAGAAGAAAAACCAAGTACGGAAATACAATCAAAATACTGGCTAATTATTGCCAACACAGTGGGCAAAGATTAAAGGTAACTAGCAAGAGTGGTAGTTTTTTAAAAGTAAGCACAATTACCATACTGAAAAGAATAGTCAGTATGCAGAAATGCATTACTGAGGATTTTTCTTAGTTAAGAAATTAAATTAAATTAAAAGGAGCAATAAATTGCCTTTGGCCTGAGCGCGCAGGGGCACACACGACCCTCAGATTAATCTTTCCAATCAACTCATGATTCATCAGATCCCCTTCAGGTATCCAATTCTGTTTCAGTAAGAGGAATTTGGAGAACTTTGAGGAAACAGGAAGTTATTAAATATTTAAGAAAAGACCAGTATAGAAAGATTATGCTTTAGCCTAAGGAAAAGGAGGTACAATGTAATCTTCAAGAAAAGAAAATTTAACAAAAGATAGATACCAGCTGTAGATATGATTACTAAGACTAGTATAAGAAAAACAGTCTTCAGTGTGAAGGATTTATGTTAACTCTAGGAGAGAGATTTTTAACAGTGGGAAATTAGTCACTGAAATTGATAAGCATAAGGAAGACTTGGTTTTTAAAAATTAAATGTTGTTGGTTGTCTAGTAAGGATTAAGTGGCAAGATGTCTTATGATAATGTATTATAATTCTGGGATTCTATAATCTTTTGCTTCTTTTAAATTTAAAAATATATTAAAGTTATACAAGTTAGTCCTAAAATATTTTATCCCTTGAAACTAGGATAGCAAAAAAAAAAAAAAAAGAAACTAGGATAGCAATCATAATTTTTCCAAGATATTTGGTAAAAAAACAAAACAAAACAGAATCATTGGTATTATTTTTCCTTCCAGCTATATTTCATAATATCTTTAAAGTTGTCGAGAATGTAGTAATTTTACTATAAAAAACCTCCATTGTCAGAGTCTAAAAAAACAAATGTCCTCAGGAATACTTTGGAAATGGAAGGTATGCAATCCCTTAGTGGGGGCAAATGTCTCTCGAATTTTATCTTTTCTTAAAAGGGTCTTCAATCGCCAGTATTTGCTTTTTCCATGCTTTGGAAAATATTCCTGTACAGATAGTCCTTCTGTTTCAAACAAGCATGAAACGTCAGTCAAATAAACCAACTATGAGTGTGGACCTTTCCTGATACCTGTATTACATAAAATTCTCTATAGTTCTCAAGTGGAAATCACAAAATACGAAAAGGAAGAAATGAAATATATTTTCCACTGGGATAAGAATGGCAAATGTAATGTGTAATTGTTATAATCAATCAGCCAAAAGACATAATCTGTCTCTCAAAAAGACACGGCAGGGGAAACTGATGGGTTTCCAGTAAGAAATTGTGATGGTTCAACCCAAGGATGCCACAGACGCATTGATGTTGTGTAAAGTAGGACTAGATTCGAAAGAAACTCTTAGGATAAAGTTCCCAGTTTTAAGAATTTGCCCTCATGGTTTTTTGTTTGTTATAAACCAGAGTGATTTAAAATAATCCTTGTATTGAAGATTGCAAAGAACTTACAAGAATATGTTTCTGAATAAAGGGAACATAATTCTTTAAAAAGCTGTTGAACTGGAGTTTGATAGATAACATGATCAGTGTTGATATTGACAAGTAATTTTTACCTTGAAATCAATTTCTATGGACATATAAAACCAATCTAGCTCCCAGGTGACCATTTCCATTGTCTGTAGTAATGCCCCCAGATGAGTTGTGTCTGTAGTTAAAATTCATCTTTACTGAAATGCCTAGTTAACTGCCATAGTCCCTGATTGTATTGCATATGTAGCCTGATCCTATTATGTTAACATCTGAAAGATTTCATCTAGACATCTCTTCTGTCCTTCTTATTCAAAGTATGTAACTGGAAAAGATTTTAGTATTAAGATATGTTCCCTGATAGAGGATTTTCCAGAAATAACATTTTACTTAAGAGGAGCAATTAATGCCTTTACTGTAAGGGCGTGAGTGTGTAGAAGTCTGCCATGTAAAATGTTTGCATGAGATATTTCACATCATGTAAGCTTTCCCATATTCACAATATGAACCCTATAGAAGTCTTATTTCTCCTGTGGTCTTCTCTCCATTAGAAAGGTAAGGAGATTGTTACCTGTATTGGGTCTCCTTTCCATATTGAAATGCATGGCTCGAATCCTCATTGAATTTTTATCCCTTTCGTCAGGAGTTACTTAAAATTTGCCCTTTTTAAACTGAAGCCGGATAAACTGCTGAGCCAGACTATTTCTGTGATTGGAGTTTAAGTGCTGTAGAACATTGGTTGAGAGCACATTTTAATTTTAACTTTTTTTTTCTTTCGGAAATATTCTCTGTTCTCTATGGTTCTCTAATGAAAACACTGACAAGTAAATCAGATGCTTTCAGTGTGACTATGTTTTTCTTTTTAAAAAGTCATTTTAAAACAAAACTACAAAGTAAAGAGAAATGTCATCATTTTGTTGACATCATTATTCGATGATAATGGAGATACAGAATTAATCATTTTGTTGTTTGGGTTTATAGATATGGTTACGAACCAAGTCTTAGAGGAAATAAATTAACATTATTGCCACAAAATTTTTAAGCTCAATGGTTTGACTGTTAGAGTCAATTAAACAATTCTTTGAAAATCTTTTGTGACATTTTTGTAATCTACTCAGTGTTTTCATTTGCATGATTATACATATGTGATGAGCCATTCATGATTCCAATATTGTATTTCTTTCCAGTATTAACATTTGTGTAATGCGTGGCCAACCCTGATTTGTACACTGTATGGTTATTGTTGTGATGATTTTGCTATTCCTACTCTTAATTGCAATTTTGTTATTATGCCTTTTGGGGTTAAATGATGTGAAGTGTTTCCACCTAATGATAATACCATATGAAAACATGAAAAAGACTTACCTAAGAATCTCTCTTGTTGCTAATTATTTTTAAAAATCCAAATTTCAAAGGAAACTTGTTCTCAAAGACATATGCATTTATTTTAAATTCCAAAAAATTCTTATGAATTTGTTATTGCTCGTTCTTTTTAAGTTTTTTATTGTAGACAATCCTCAGTGAATGTCTCATGGGAGAATCTATATGATATGTGCTTGTATTTGTGTAATCAGATCATGCACTCAAATGGTTGGAAAAGGCACTCCAGTGCTAAGAAAATAACCGAAGCCAATATTATCAATTCTTATATCTTGGTTTATGTTACCAACTGAATATGGTGTAATGCATAACTCTTTCCAGTAAATAAACTGGTTATCTTTTGTTCCTTTCATCTATGCTACCTTTTTATCAGTTTGAGCAATTTTTCTGTATGTCATTTTGGTTTGTACTTACAAAAAAAGTATATGAATTGCTATGTGATTTATATATTTATTCAAAGTGAGCACTTAACTAAAAACTGAATGCTTTGCTTTGACATTTCTACACATTCCTATTAAGAAATGTGTATCAACTTTGCCCATGTTCTCCACTTACTCTCTCTCCTACTTGTAATCTTTTCTAAAAGGTTATATTGGCAGGAGGATACACATAGCTGAATTAGATTAGAAATGTAGCAACATGAAGAAAATGCCTTTTCTTAAAAAAGGAAACATTATTTTAATGAAAGAAGAATGAAGTTTATGCTTTATTTGGGGAGACAGTTCTTCGTTCTCTTTCACATGAAGGAATAGCAGAGTCCCAAAACTTTGAGGAAGGTTAATTTACTAGCTCCTTCTTCAAATATTTGTTGTAACAAATCAGCTGCTTTTGGAGTCACCTGCTTTGACTTGATTTTATTTTGGGAGACAGGGGAGGCAGAGAACCAGACAGAATATGGACTTAGGTGAGGTTCTAATGAGTTGCAATCTCTAATGCAACAATCCTTGTTATAACGAATAAAATTAGCCCACGATGGACACTGCAACAATCCCAGTTAAGGTCGCCTGCCTACCTGTTGTATATACAACACTAGAAATAATAGTGTAAACTTTCTTAAAAATCTCTCCTCTTTCTTTTCTGAAAGCTATTGTTTTTCTTTGAGGTTGGATCTGTAAGTCTGTCTGATCGTTGATCTCTTACACAATAAAGCTGATGGTTTGTTACATTCAAAAGCTAAAACAAGTGGATCAGCCTCCAGGGGTGTCAAGAAAGTCTCTTCTCATCCCTGTATTTTGCAGGGGACTTGGATAGCACTATACTGTTGTGAGGGCAATGTGGAGGGATTTTCTTAGTGTTTGGTTGTACACACATTGACTAGTACGTTGTAGGAACTCAGTAAAGTGGGTTCCTTGGCTTCTTGCTATCTGGCTTTTCTTATAACACATCTGGAATTGAGTTTATACAACCTAATGTCACCTACTATAATATCAGCAGGCACTAAATGCCAACTAATTGGGGGAAATGGTCTTAAAATTAAGTGAATGGTTATTCCTGTCTTTCTCTCTGTGTCAATCTGAAAACTAGATCTCTAACATTGTATTTGAAGATGCCTTAATGTATACAATGAAATCATCTGACAAAGTTCCTTCTTAAACATTTTATGAATCAACTGTCATAAAATAGCAGTTTAAGTTTCTTCTTAAACATCAACTGTTTAAGAAGAAACTCAGGCATCTGTTAAATAGTAAAAAAAATGTTATAACTATCTACATAATTTGTGAGACCCAGTGCAAAATGAAAATGTGGATCTCCTTGTTCAAAAATTGTTAAGAATTTCAAGACAGTGACAGCAGAGCATTAAACTAAGCAGGGAGTCCTAAGCACAGGGTCCTAGTGATTGTAGAGCTCCACATGCCCATGAAGCCAGCCTTGCCCCTGAATATGCTAAAATAATTTAGGACCTCAACACTGAATGCAGCTATCCAGAACCTACGCTTTATTTTTAACAGAATAGATTTCCCAGCTTCTGTTCTTGGAAGAAAACGTGTTTATGTTCTGGGGAAAATATATTTTAATGCTATTACTTCAAAGAATTATAAAAGTGAATCTTGCCGTCTCCCATATCCCGATGCAACCATACATTTCAACTCAAAATTTCTAAACTCTCCCATACCTACCAAGCTGAACAGAGATTATAAAAATCATTAAATCTTCAAAATATCAGCAGTAGACATTTTAATTAGTGTATATTAAAGTAAAACTAATTTAAGAACCCTACTGATACCTTCATAACTTGACTTCCTTTGAAGTTATAAATTATTAATAGTCATTCAAATGTCACAGAAAGATTTGCCTCATTTAAAAGAGCTATTAGCCCAAGATTAGTAAGTGATTCATATCAACTTTTCTTCCAAATAAAGCAAAGGGGAAAGAAATTATTTACCTCATTGAAATCCATTGACATGGGAAACATGGGCTCTCATGTTATAGTAAGCTACCCTATATGTAAGAAAGGGAGAAAATAAAAATATATATTAATTTTT